ATATTAAATTAAAAAATCAATTCCTTCCAAAACCATTTAACCTTTAATAATCACAAAGCAAGTTCTATACATTTTTTAAAAGCGATGCATCAATTTAAAGTGACTTCCAGATCACGTGAACAAACAAACGCAAAAAACATCAATTATCCAATAGGAATCGAATAAAAAAGTGTTACCAGGATAATCTGTCATCTGAAATTTGATTGGTTAATACTCAGATAGGGCGGGCGCTAACAGTGCGTCGCTTCGTTTTCTACCTGGTACCTCCCTACGGTCACTTTATCCGTGTTAAAACCGCTCAGACACAAAGTTTAAACTGGCACGACGCAAGAAAGAAAGAAAAAATAAAACGAGGTAAAAAGTTTTTATAAAAATGACTTATTTGGTAAAAGCTTTAATTTCAGAACGCAACAAGCTAGCTTGTATAGCGGTTTTTGCTAGCATTACCTGCACGAACTGGAGAGTTGTACTAGCGAGCAAAAAAGAAGTCAAGAAAGAAGTACCTAAAATATAATAACTGTAAACTGTTATTGCATTAACCTTTTCCACGTAGCAGCCATGAAGGAAGATATAAAAGTGACACTACTCTCTCTCTCTCTCTCTCTCTCTCTCTCTCTCTCTCTCTCTCTCTCTCTCTCTCTCTCTCTCTCTCTCTCTCTCTCTCTCTCTCTCTCTGTTCCTATTTGTTTACAAAATGTCTAAAATAAACCATTAGATGAATTTCTATGAAAGTACTGGTTACTTTTAAAAGTCAATCACGTTTATCTTGAAAAATCCTAACAAAGTTCATCAAATTTGGTGTAAATTTGGTTGGTAGTAGCAGAGAGTAATTCACAACATACTCGTTGCATTTGCATTAACTGCAGGAGTATTGTTTGYCTGTTAGCAAAATAACAAAAGAAGCCACTTGGTGGGTTTAAATGAAACTTTGAGACAACATTAGTTTTTTGTTATTTCAGCTGCTTCAGGAGTCACCACAACAAGCCTGGATCTGAACCTACAGCCTCAAAACCACTGGAGCACGACGCTGACCACCGAGCTTCTACAGCCCCCCCAGAATGTAATCGTTTGGTATGTTAACATTTACAAAATTTGGTTTGAATGAACATCAACAGAACTTTCCAGTGATGTCAACATTGTGTATATAGGTTAAAACAAATATTTACAGCATGAACAGTTAGATATATTGTCATATTGACATATTTTTAGAGATTGATGTAAGACTTTCAGGAAATTATCTTTGATAAATGTTCAGCTTTTTTCTTAATATATTTTAATTTATTAAGTAGTATAAACCTTTTATCACAGAAAGTTACATTGTAATTATAATTTTCACAGTTGGAGGAATAAAAAGAAGAAAGTTGACAAATCAAACTGGTTGGTTTTTGGGATGCAGGTTGATCAAAAGCTGAGCTAACTGTTGGGTTGTTGGAACAATATTTTGCTTTAATTTCAAAGGTATTATATGTCAGCTCAGAAATCCACCAGGTTAACAACATACACTCCTGATCAAAATCTTAAGACCAGTCAAAAAAGTGCAAGAATTTGCATTTTGCACTGTTGGATCTTAAGAA